CTCGCCTCCCTCCGCCCCTCCTCGTGTGTGTGTGTGTGTGTGTGTGTGTGTGTGTGTGTGTGTGTGTGTGTGTGAGAGAGATGCACTGGACAAGAGTGGACCAGGGCGGGGGGACCAGGAGGAGACAGCCAGCGCCTTTCACGCCTCTCAAATCTGGCTCACTGCTCTGCTGTCATAACTCGGTTATCCCTTATCACCAGAATTTGCGTTGCCCTAGGAGACACCTGCTTCCCAAACCCGAAATTCAAAGAACCACATGTTCTTTCAACGTGCATTCTTCCCCGCTTGTAGGAAGAGAGCCTCATGTGACAAAATCCTGTCCCCTTATGGTTTATGGCTTCCCAGTTTTGGGAACAGGCTGGGGCATGGAGGCATTCTATAAAAAGTTTACTTTGAATTGATGAGAAAATTATCATGCTGGTCTATTTTGTAGAAAGTCTGACTTCCTTCGAGGTGAGTCCTTTGGAAATGATGAAGCGCAGATCCCTCGACCCCCTGCCGGATGTAGGATGGGGCTGGGGACCCCCCAGGCCGCCTGGCATCTGTTTCATACCAGCTTGTAAGTCACATCAGTGGCTCATTTGAGACTCTCGCTGCCCAGGAAGTGGCTCCTCTGGTTAACCAGCCCAAGCAGGCATCCTGCTGTTTTTCAGGGAACATAAAACAAGGTAAGCAAAACAGCGTTTTCCCACCCTCTGGGTGAAGCCCGCTGCAGCGCTCTGACGGGGGGCCCTCATGCCTCAGCTAATTTCCACATCATCCTGTTTAGGGTGGGAGATCCGGGGCGATGCTGGCGTCCAATGGGGAGGCAGATCCCCTGTGAAAAGCAGAGCAGTTTATTTTTTTTTAAATTTCATTTATTTTTGGGGGAGCAGGAGGAGGCAATTAGGTTTATTTACTGATTTATTTTTGGAGGAGGGCCTGGGGATCGAACCCAGGACCTGGTGCATGCTAAGCACATGCTCTGCCACTTGAGCTAGACCTTCAGCCTCCGAGCAGTTTCTGTTCACTGTCTCCCACGGGCCACACACCTCCAGGATCCACTGTCTGCACAGCACGCACTGGGCGACAGACCTCAGCCCGGACCGCAGTGCGGACATTCAGTGTCAGTGCGGCCGGTACGTGAGTCCTGAAGACAGTGACCCGCTGTGTTTGAGATGCAGTTGGCTCAGCTGTGAAATGGAAACACGTATGAGACACGAGGCCAGCGTCCCGCAGGGGACGGACGCCCCGTGAAGACCCCAGATGTGCAGGAGGAAGCGTCTGGGTCCAGATTCCTTTTTCTGAACTTTGAACCCTCTCCGCATACATGGGCACGTGTTTCTTTTATTTTAGGCAGGTCATCTGATCTTGGGACTTCGGAGGTGCTAGACCTTAAGGACCCGCTGACCCTGCCCCCTCACTGTAAGCGTCGGGGGGGGACCCCAGGTCACCCCAGCGGTGAGTGGCAGAGCCCCGGGGGGCTTCTCAGGTGAGGAGGGGAAGGTGTGCTCCTGTGCATCCGAGAGATGAAACCACAGTCACTCACGCACTGCGTCTGTGTGTTTCTTTTAACTCTGGCTTCGGCATCTGTAGGGTCGCCATCAGCTCATGCTTTCGAAGCTGCCTTCAAACTCCTCGGTTTCTGGAAAACGCACATGCCTGGGCTGGGCTCAGACAGTGGACTTTGCTTTTATGTTGGGAAGGAAGGCTCTCAGAAGCCCCTCACACCTGCCAACTGGTCTCATCACAGAAGGATGGGGTGTCTGGCTGCTGAGAACACGTGGTGAACATCCACGTGGGACAGGCAGTGCCGTGTCAACCCCTTTCTCACCCTGGAGTTTGCCAGTAATGTTCCTGCTTTTTCAGTTCTGTTCTAAGTTAAAGGATGCTAGAGTTCTGAAGCGAGAAGGCACCGGATGGTCCAGCTGCCTGAGCTCAGACAGGAAAGTCCACTCGAAGGCACACAGTGAGTGGCTCGCAGACTCGGACCAGACGGGATCCTGTGGCTTCTGCCCCAGATGCCGGTCCACATCTGTAGGGCTGCAGGCACCCCCATTTCTTGTTGAAGTTTGATTATGACGACCACACGGAAGGTGATTTGAGGCTCAAGTTACGTGCACTGAAGGCCAAGAGGAATGTGGCTTTTCATGAGACCTGTCTGTTCCGGGGTCACCCTCTCTCCTAATGGGGTAGGTTTTGATCAGGTCATCTTAGAACCCACAAAAGGCGCTCTTGAGAAATAACAGGACCATTTCTGTTTTCTGCAGAGCTGTTCAAAACTAGAGGCGCAATGACATCATTAATGATTTATAAAAATTGCCCATTTCTGTTTGCAACCCTTGCACACGGAGCAGCCCTCAATGACCTGGCCAGGGAGTCCCCTGACACTGTGCACCTGGACGAGGGGAACAGTCACCGGGTCCACCGTGCAGGACAGAAAGTCACCCGGGCTACACGCAGGCAGGACAGCACCCAGCATTGTCCTCAACTTCTGCCTGAGTGTAAAAGCAGCTACCGCACTGGAAATGAATTAGCGGCAGCTGGACAAAACTCGAGGAATCTTACCAACATCACGCAGAAGCGAAAAACAGTCCCAAGAGATCACCCAGACCAGGGATTCATTTTCAGAGGCATAAAAATCAAGCCACAGGAAAGCATAGACTGTTTAGAAATTCATCACCTTTGGGATAAAACAGCTTTTCGATTCAACGCACAGTTCAGGGTGGTGGTTATGTCTGAGCCGGCTGCAGCGCAGATGCAAGAAATGGGTGACTTTCTCATTTGTAAACGGGGCGATGGGTCAAAAAAGCAGGGGAGGGGGAGAGATGTTAGGCCAACTTCTGGACAGAACTTCGGACTCGGGTCGATTAAGCAAGACGTCATATTCTGACAGTTTCAGACCATCTACCAGCAAGAAGATTCTTTATAATCTATGTTGATTAGAAATGAAAACACCGAACTAAATGAGGCCACGGCCACAGTGCCTCACCGTTCACTCGTTCTGTAGCAAATGATCTTAACTATTCACGTCCTGTTCTTTTAGACGGAGGACGTTGGGGAGACCAGGAGGTAGACCGAGCTGCAGTGTGCAAGGGATGGCAACGTCCTAAAAGAAAGTTGGCTTTTAAGTTTGTTTTTAGTAAGTAAATGCGTGACGGTGCTTGACCGGGTGGCTGGTTGCAAGATGGTTGCTGTGGTTCCGTGCATCAAGCTCTAATCGAGGTGGGAAGGTGGGCCACTGTGTGGGGCCCGAAGCAGAGATGGTTTGCGGGGCTCCGATGTCTTTCCACAGCCCAGTGGATGGGGCTCCCGCACGGAACAGGGCAGAAATGAACCAGAGGGCGGCACAACTGAGTGGAATTAAGACCCAAGTCAAGACAACGGGAAAGGCTTTATGGGGAGAAAAAGACAAGAGGGTTCTTCTCTTCCGCCCACGTTTCCTCTAGAGGCACGAGGGCAGACAAGCACCCGGGCAGAGAGGCGGGGGGCGTGTGCCGTGGGTCCCGTCTCAGGGAAGGATGTGCAGGAGCCTGGGAAGCAAAGCCAAGGTGACAGGAGCCCTGAGGACTGCCAGCCCCTCTTCCCCAGGGCTCCCCTTTAGCCGGGTGGCCTCAGTTAGGGTCGGTTTAACAGGGCCTGCTCACGTCCAGCAAGGAGGGGGCAGGGGGCCTCTGAGAGCCTCACCTCTACCAGTGGGTGGAGTTTGACTCGGTCTCCTTGCTCTGAACCTTGTTCTCAGAATTCCTGGGGTGCAGCCGGGGGCAGCTCTGGGCCCCGGTAAGCCTGCTACACCCCCACCGTCCTCTCTAACGTGGCTGCCTCTGCCTGAGCCGTGCCGTCCGCTCCGCCGCGGTCTCTCAGCTGCCTTCTGGTCTCCTCCGGAGGCTGCGTCCCCTCCCTGAACTTGGACCCGCTTAGCTGGGCCCAGAGGTCCTGCTCCAGTTTTCCAGACCCTCTTTATGGTTTGGATGCTGCCCTTCCTCCCACTGGCTTTCGGGGTTCTGCTCCACACTGAGTCTAACACAGTTTACAACTGGGGGACTCCACGCTCCCGGGCACCCCCATATTCTGGGGACACATCCCAGCCCCCTGGGCACTCCCTATGAAGGGGCAAAACCCACGAAGGGACCAGCAGGACCTCCCAGGCAGGGCCACTGCCTTCCTGCTTTTGCACTTCTGTAAAACGGCTTGCTTCTAGGAAAACGAAACTGACCCCTAAAATTCCATGGGTTCCCAAAAGCTCCCTCCTGATTGGTCCATTTCTAGCACCTCATTTGCATTTACCCCTAAAATTCCATTGGTTCCTGAAGGCTCACTCCTGACTGGTCCATTTCTAACACCTCATTTGCATGTGGCATGAACTCAGTTGAAACCTAAAACCCTATAAAAAAGTGTGTAAATCTACAGACGGGGTGCAGAGCTTGGAGTGGTAACTCCTCTGGGCCCGTGGGTGTAATAAACCCGAGTTCTCCAAACCTCTGAGTGTTGCTTGGTGTCTCAACAGGACTCAGGTTGCTGTCACACCTACAAGCCTCAGTTTGCCACCCTGTCTGATGGGGTTGTAATGAGCCCACTGATCGCCACCCTGTTGAGTTTGTGTCTTTACCCGAGCCCTGTGTCCCCGCCGAGTTCCTGATGTGCGCACTGGCCACTACCAGCCCGACGGCATTTCCTCCCTCTGATTATCTGCTACCGCAGCCCAGGGTTCAGGTGGTTGGCAGAGAATCCTTGATCCTGGGAGGGTGAGTGGCTGCTCGGCCCAAATGGGTGACGCTCGACTGCCCTGCAAGGTCACGGTGGTGTTGCTGCCCTCGGTCGGGCTTCTGACAGATGACACACAACCAGACTCCTGGATTTTCTGGTCCCAAGGCACTAGACCTGCTTATCCTCCTTACCTACTTATCTTTGCCCCATCTTCTTGCCTGGAATTCTGACTCGCTGACTGGAGGCGTGGCAGCCATCCTGCCCACCTGGGTGACAATGGAATCCAACACCGTACGGATGGCCGTGTCGGAAGATTCTGGTGCTTCCTCTGGCGTAAGGCTTGGAAGTCTGGGAATTCAGGTTGTTTTCTGACAAAGGGGAAGGCCTTCGGCAGAGGGGAAGGCGTCTCCTGCTGGAAAAGCGGGGTGGCCTGAAGCCTGTCCAGCTCCGGGGACGGGGGCCCCTGATGGAGTTCGCAGGCATTGGGGGTGCGGGGGCGCCTTCCTCTGGCTCCGGGATGAAGAGAGACATGGTCGTCTGTGGGTTGGTTCTCTCGTCCAGAGGTGGCTCCGTCCCACCCTGGCAGCCCAGAGCGTCCACGAGTTCTTCTTGGAAAGTTTGTCCTGCCAGGATTTTCCAGACCCCCTCGCTGCCACCCCCTCCTGCTCACGTATGTGGGGGTGTATTGCTCTGCCTGGAAAACCAGAGAAGCTTTTGCAAGGCTAGTCCAGGAGTCACATGAGCCTCCTACCAGCTGAGTCCCAGGGCTGCTCCTGGGTTTCCAGGCCCCGTGGGTGGTGTGGGAGGGGCTCCTTCACTGGGGCCCTGAAGGCAGGACCGGGAGGCCAAAAGCAGCAGGACCACTTGACTTTTCCCACATTCCAAATGTTTTCTGCTGCTGGTTCCTCTAGCCAGGAGCCTTAGAAACATTGTTCTGTCTCTTAAGCATTAAAATGTTACATGTGGAAACTCTGATCTAGGATGGACAAGCCTTGGATACTGGGATCGGCAGCTCAGCTAAAGAAACAAGATGCAAAACCAAACCACAGGTTTGAACTGTGCAGTGTATGTCCTCTCACTGAGGTCCTCTCTCCTTCCCTCGCCCCTCGCATCCTGAAATAAGGAAGCCTCTCTGTTGTGGACTGAACGTTGGCGCCCCCCGAATCCACGTGTGGAAGCCCTAACCTCCAGTGATGGTGGTTTTTGGAGACAGGGCCTTTGGGAGGCAGAGTTAGGTGAGGCCGTGAGGGTGGGGCCCTCCCGATGAGATTAGTGTCTTTCTAAGAAGAGACTTGCTCCCTCTTCTTTCTGCCACGCGAGGCCGGGAAGAGGCCAGGACACAAATCTTTCTTCACGTTGACCTTGGGTTTCTCAGGCCCCAGAGCTGTGTCAGCCACTGTCTGCAGGTTTGTTTTTTTTTATGGCAGGCGAGCTGACAGAGACACCTTCACCGTGGAGGGGCTCGGTCACCCCCGGAACCGGCTCCCCGCATGCCACATCCTCCCTGCCACCCACGGGCCCCCCAGAGCACGGCTCTCTCCCCACTGACGCACTCTCAGGAGATATTCCCAGGATTTCGTTCTGGGGAGGGAGACCAGGAGGGAGCGAAAAGCAAACAAGAAATGGCCAAATGTTTTGCTGCGAGTGGAGGGGAGGGAACTGAAAACCATTAAATTTGTCCCAACACAGCTGCCAAAATAATATATATTCATTACCAAAAAAACCCCCCAAACAATGTAAATGGATTGAAAATAAAATGCAAAATTCCCTGCCTGCCACTTAATTTTTCCCTTATATCATTCACGCCTCAGCCCCAGTCTCCACCATTAATGGGCTGACGTGAGTATTTCCAGATGTTTCCAGATCGTGTGCACATGCACGCACAAAGGAGGTAGACACAAAATGTGTGTTTTTTTTTTTTAAATATCGTTCAGCCTCTTGCTCTATTTCACTTACATAACGAGGCTGAATCTCCGTGGTGGTGCCTGTGGATTTATCCTGCTATTTCTCACAACCGCACAGAATTCCATACCACGAGGCACCATGATTTATTTAATAATGTCTCTTTTGATGGACGTTAAAGTTTAAATTTTTTTTTCTCTATTGCAGATAATGTTTTAGTGAACATTTTCATTCATGTACGTTTGTATGGCTGCTTGAGTATTTGTCTTGGCAAACAAAATACCCCAGACTAGGGGACCGATTTCTCACAGGTCTGGAGGCTGGGACTATGGGATCCAGGGGTGCATGGTCAGGTCCTGGGGTGGGGGCTGTCTTCCTGGCTTCTCATGGTGGCCTCGCGTGGCAGGTGACCACTGGCCTCTTTCTCCTCCTACACGGACATTAATCTCACTACGGGGCCTCAGCCTCTTGATGGGACCTGACCCTAAGTGCCTTCCCGCGGCCCCACCTCCAAATACCAGCACGGGGCTTCAACAGGAATCTGGGGGGGGGGGGGACGTGTTCAGTCAATAATAAGGTTTTAGTAGAGCTGATATCCACAAGTGAAATTGTCATATTGAACGACATACACATTTAAAATGTTTACAGTCTTCCAAAAGTTGATGACACTTTATGTTCCTGCCAAAGTGTGTGGTGGAAAGGATTTATCATTTCATTTTTTCCTTTCCTTCCCTTCCTTCCCTCCTCCTCCTTCCTTCCTCTCTCTCTCTTTCTTCTTCTTGCTTTCTTGCTTTCCTCTCTCTCTCTTTCTTTCTTTCTTCTTTCTTTCTCTTTCTTCTTTTTCTTTCTTTTCTTCTTTCTTTCTTTTCTTTCTTTCTTTCTTCCTTTCCTTTTTTTCCTTTCTTCTTTCCTTCCTTCCTTCCTTTCTTTCTTCTTTCTTTCTTTCTTTCTTTCTTTCTTTCTTTTCTTTCTTTCTTTCTTCCTTTCCTTCTTTCTTCCTTTCCTTCTTTCTTTCTTTCTCTCTTTCTTTTCTTTCTTTTCTTTCTTTCTTTCTTTTCTTTCTTACCATTTCATTTTAATTGGCATCTTCTTGATTGTTAGTGAAGCCGAACGTATATTTTCACAAGTGTTACCAGTCATTTCTAAGTTTTCCATGAATTGTCCACTTAGACACGGTCAAAGTTTTAGTAGGGTGTTTAACTTTGTTAGGGGTCCATTGGAGTTCTTCATATTTTAGGACACTAATCCCTGATGCATCTCAAGGTTTACTTTTTTCCCTCATATAAATTTTGACTTTTTGATGTGTTTTTCAAATTTTATTTACTGATTTATTTTATTGAAGTCTAGTCAGCTTACAATGTTGTGTCAATTTCTGGTGCACAGCATAATGCTTTGGTCATATTTATACATACATATGTGCCTTTTCATATTCTTTTTCATTATAGGTTATTATAAGATATTGAATATAGTTTCATGTGCTCTACAGCAGAAACCTGTTGTTTATTTTATGTAATAGTCAGTATCTGCAAATCTTGAAGTCCTTGTTTATCCCTTCGCACCCTCTTCCCTCCTGGTAACCACAGATTTGCTTTCTATGTCTGTGAGTCTGTTTCTGTTTCATAAATAAGTTTGCTTGTGTTTTATTTTTTTAAGATTCCACATATAAGTGATATCACATGGTATTTTTCTTTCTCTGTCTGACTTGCTTCACTTAGGATGACAATGTCCAGGGCCATCCAGGTTGCTGCAAATGGCATTATGGTGTCATTTTTTATGGGTGAGTAGTATTCCATTGCATAAATATACCACAACTTCTTTATCCAGTCATCTGTCGATGGACATTTAGGTTGTTTCCATGTGTGTTATTTTTTTTCTTAAAAATCTTTAAGAAAAACTTAGTGGCCCTGTTGCCAGTCTTTTCTTGACGGCTTTAGAGTTACATTGTCTTAGCATCACTTTCCTTGAGCTTCAGGAAGAATCACATACATTTTACCCCAAACTTTGTTTCTTTTTTTTTTTTTTAATGTTTAGATTGTTAGCCCATCTGGAATTGGAAATAAGACCATAATTAATAAATGCATAGATGTTTTCTCCAACATCATTTAGTGGAGAGACTGTTACTCCTGCAGTATCTGGAAATGTTATCACCATCATATGCTACATTTCCATGGATACGTCTGTTTCCAAAATTCTTATTTCTTTCTATGAATTACTTCCGGTGACTACATTGGTACTCCGCAGCTTTAATGATGTTCATCTTATGTGGTGTATTTTTACATCATTGACATTCCTGCTCAATTATATTCCCAATGTTCTTGGCTGCTGTTGAGCACTTTCGTTTTTAGAGTCCAAATTCTAAAATGTTTACTTCCCAAAATAACGATTGAAATTTTCAGTCGTATGGCATTGAATTTGTTTAATAATTAGGAGAAAACTGGTATCTTTACAAGATTCACTTCTCATATCCATGAATACAATGTATCTTTCAGTCTTCTTTTATGCCTCAGCAAAGTTGTATCATTTTGGAATTCAAACTTTTCTTGCACATTTAAGTGGATTCTCAGCTCTTTTGTAATTTATTTGCTATTTCAAATAGGATTCTTTTTCATTACATTGTGTAATTAATAACTGACGGTACTTTGGAAAGTTATTGATAGCAATTCTGTGTGGCCACCCTAGTACATTTCCTTATTCTACTTTTTTTTGTTAATAGATATTTTGTTTTTCAGCCATTTGCTTTGGAGTCAGCAAATTTCTTCTGTAAAAGGACAGGTAGGAAATATTTTCAGCTTTGCAGGGCATTGGATCCTGTTGCCCCTACTCACCTCTGCCTCTGTGATGTGACAGCCGTCACAGGCAATGAAAGAATAGATGTGCTCTGTTTCCCATAAAACTGAATTTACAAACACAGCCTGCTGGCTGGATGTGAATCCTGGGCATGGGACAGGTTTGCTGATATTCTAAAGATGCAAATAGATCATATGTGAGTAATAAAAATTTTTCCTTGTCTCCAAAACTGGACGTCAGAAGAGTGTTGAAATGATAAAGGTCACTCTTGCTTTGCTGTTATTTAAGATGTTGGTATTTCACTGTTATGTTTCTTATTGAAGGAACAAAACCCATAAAGGGGCCAGCAAGACCTCCCAGGCAGGGCCACTGCCTTCCTGCTTTTGCACTTCTGTAAAACGGCTTGCTTGTAGGAAAATGAAACTCCCCACTGAGAGTCCTTTGGTCCCCAAAAGCTCACTCCTGATTGGCCCATTTCTAACACCTCATTTGCGTTTACTTCTAAAATTCCATTGGGCCCCCAAAGCTCACTTCTGATTGGTCTGTTTCAAACACCTCATTTGCATATGATGGAAACTTCATCAAAACCTAAAACCCTATAAAAGCCTGTGTAAACCTACAGCCGGGGTCCAGAGCTTGGGTCCTCTGGGCCCATGGGGGTGATAAACCTGAGTTCTCCAGCTCTCCGAGCGTTGCTTGGTCTCTCGACGGGATTCAGGTTGCTGTTAACACTTATTACAATGTTTGGTAGATATTTTTACCCAGTTAAAGGTGTTTTCATGGATTCCTAGGTTCCTAAGGGACTTTAACAGCAGCGGTTGTGCGCTCGGTGTGACTGCCGGGGCAGAGGGCGAGGCTCCGTCACGGGGCCCAAAGTACAGATGGCTGCCCACAGGCTCTTTATTACAGCGCTTCCTGAGTTTGAGACCAGGGCGAAGCTTAGATGTGATCTTATGGCTTTAACTCTCCAAGATTTTAAAAGTCTTTTTCTGGGTGTGGAGCCAGGACACTGACTGCCAAGCCTGGAGAGCTGGCCCCTGGAGACAAGCCCTGAATGAGGGGAAAACCCACGCAGAAGCAGCCAGAACCATCCGCGGGTCCTTCTCAGACCCTCCCCTTCCTGGGAAAGCTTTTATCCCCCCCTCCGCCCCCGGAGGGCTGTGATGACTTTCACAAGGTCATTGGCCCGCAGGCCAAATCTCTTCAAGCTGAAACCCCATCTGCTCAGAGCTTCAGCTAGAATCCTGGGGGCGGGATGTGGGGGGGAGGAGGGTGCTGGTGAGTTTGCCCTGAGGTGAGTGTGTTCGCTCTGGGATGGAAGCCACGAACTGTCCCTTGGGGGTGTCATTTCAGGCTCCGGGCAGCTAGGGCCCCAGAACTCTGTCTGTCCGTGTCCACATCTTCTGCTGAGGCCTGCCCTCCTAGCCGTGGGCTGACCCCCGATGGGGGATCTAAGAGGCTTAGCCCCTCCCAGGGTGCCGGGCAATCACAGGGGGGTGTGTGTGGGGGGCCTGGCAAGTTCCCTGGATCTGCAGTGCTTCTAGGATCTAGTCCTGAAGTCCTGCCTCCACGTACATCACAGCCCCGCTCAGCCCTGCGCTGGTCCCTGGTGTGAACGACCCTCAGGGTGAACCGCACTGAACAGAGCAGCGGCTTTTCTGGAAATGATGGACGGTCTTTGGCCTCCATTAGACTGGTTCTCCTTGTGGGAGACACAAGGTGGAGCCCGGGGAGGGCGGGCTGGACCGGGCTGCCTCCTGCCTGCCCGTCTCGGGCCCTCCCCCTCGGGTCTGGAAGCTGGTCCCTCCTCCTCAGGGTGTGGCCCAGGCTCCATCAGAAGTTTGCTCTTTCCCAGTTGCTGGGGGTGAATTTAAACCCCGTAAGTCTCACCCTCACGGCCAGTTCAAAGGAGGAAATTCTTACTCACTCAGCTGTGCAGGGAGCGCAAGGCCGAACTGTGATCTGCATCTCAGCAGAACGACTTTGCTCAGCACCAGTGGTTTCCTGGCTGGGCGAGTCACAATACGGGTGCTGGGACCAAACACGGTCCCTAAGGGCACCGGCCGGCCACGCACCGCAGGCTGATGGTGGGAGCCGAGCAGCTGGTTCATGAACTCAGAGTTTAGGACTGAGCAGAATCACAACAGAACGTCTGTTTGCTTTGTCGCTCTCAGGAAACCAAACCTCACTTGCTATAGAATAATCTCCTACACCCAGGAATTCCCTCTTGGCTCCGTGAAGGAGGAGAGACCAGGGTGGAACCTGGGAAGACGGCATTGAGAGGACCCCCCCCCCTCACTGAAGGTCATCATTCCCGGGGTGGGTGGTGGCAGGGGGCATAGGTCACTCTCCATAATTTCTCCTGCATCTTGCAGTTTTGCAAACTAAAGCTGCTCTAAAAATAGTTTATTAATTAACTTTAAAAAATTACCAGGAAAGATGACCCACAGTAGGTGGGATAAGACCGATAATGAATACCAACACTGCGTTGTTAACAAGAATACAAATTTTTATAAGGTCCTTAAGAATAAAGAACAATGAATAATATACATCTATTTTTTTTAATACCCCATATACAATCAACATGTTTTGATCAACAGTGTAAACCAGATAAAAGAGAATCTTGCTTTCCATTTGTACAAATATTGCTTTTCTCATAGCAAACCTTTATACCGTTGAAACGTACCATCGATAGAGAGCTGTTGCTTGTTTCAGAAGGAAGTTATTGCTGTCTGTGGCTAATTGCTTGTCACACATCCATCTTTATTTCCAAGGGTTTACATGATACAGGTGAGATTACTCTGTAGCCAAATTAAGTCAAAAGGGCTTCTTAAAAAAAAAATAAGTAAATGCACCTAAAAATGTGTAGTTTTATCCGCCAGGTGACCGGGTGGGCAGTCTTAGCATTTCTGCTGGCATTTCAGACAGACAGGAGGAATTTGTAACCTCGGAGGGCAGTCTGTGCCTGCATTTCCACGTGGAAAAGGAAATCGTGCTAATTGCTTCAGTTTTCCCCCCAGATGCAATGTATACAAAAAATATAAAACGTGTTTCTTAAAGCAAGAATTCTCTTGTTGGACTCCTGTTTTTATAAACCCCATCCAACTCCTTCTGCAACCTTCTGGCCGCCTCTCTTTGTGATGAACTGGTGAGTCCAGGGTTTGCTTTCTTCCCGGGCAACGGAGCTGCCCTTCAGGGAGGGCAGCGAGCTGCTTGCACAAGCGGCAGGGACGCTTGGCACCAGTGCCCCCTTTAACAGAGGACACGGGACAGAGGTGTCTGCTCTGTATTTCCTTTGCTTTTCATGGATTGCTCCCCTCTGGCGCTTGGGCACGTGCGTGGAGCCTCCCCGTGCACCCGGGTTCTTAATGCTCATGATGGATGCTGAGGTCTTTGTGCTTAGAGTCTGCTCAATCCCGAGGTCCCTATGCCCGCAGAACTGGCCTGCAACCCCCACACCTGCGGCCGCCCCTAGGCTGGTGGTTCTCCGCCCTGGCTGTACATCAGCATGACTTTAAGACCTTTACAAAGTGTACATCCTGGGTTTCACTGCCCCGGGGCACGAGAGGGCCGCAGGATTTTCAAAAGCGCCCCTGTGATTTCTCTGTGCAGCTGGGGTTGAGAACAGCATCCCTTAGGGAGGTCATACTGAGGCTGGAAGACCGTTGGGGGGGGGTTCGTTAAACGTGCTAAAACATTATCAGGGTTTGTGGCTGTTTCTAATCTATATTGTCAATGCACATCAAGTATAGACATAAAAATAAAATAGCTCCCATCAAAGTCAGATGGGTGTATATAAACCGACACAGAATTACATCACTGTGTCTGTCGGTTACAGGGTCATTTTGGCAGATGACTGGGGTACCACGCAGATGGATCTGCCTTTCGGCCACAAGGAGAGCAATTCTTTTCTGCTGAATCGCCCTCGAGCCAACAGAACGTGCTTCAGACCAAGACTCAATGTGCTTTCCAGCTTTTCCTCACCTGATAGATCTATAAAAATGATTCTCCTCCTGACCGGGACGATGCCCTGGCTTAGCTCTGCAAAGACGCTGCGGTTTTTCTGAGACAGAAGAGGGTTTTCTCTCGCAGCAACTAAATCTCTTTAAGCAGAAATGTCACTTTCGAATTTCGATGCGCTTGCAGCCTAAGGTATAAACTGTTTCTTTTAGTAGAAAAACGCGTCTTCCTAAAAAATAGACCTTACAAAGTTCAGTGCTCAAAAATGTACAAAAATAGACTCAACATTTAAAAATCCTGCCTGAATGTGTCTGTAAGAGTAGAGAAGCGTGTGGCCCTGATGCGGCTGGTGGGACTGCTCAGAGGGGCAGGGGTCTTTACGCAGGAAGGTGTGACAGCCCCGGCCGGGGAACAAACAGATCATCGTGTTGTGACATGAACAGTGTGCGCATCGCAGGAACCAGATGCAGAGCAGACCTTCAGGGCCATTTCAACAGCGGTCACTTGGGGTGAGCAGCCATTCTCTGGGGCAGAAGATTGATTTTTCTTACTTCTTAGAAAACAAACTGTCCAGGGCTTCATAGAGGCTCAGACTGGGGTATGGGCCACCGTTCAGGATGCGTTAGCTGCTGGTGACAAGGACCCAGAGGGTTTGGGAATGGCCACTCAAGGCCAAGTCCCAAGGCGCATCGCTCTGGCCCTGCTCAGGGACTCACTTCCACACACAGACTCTGCCCTGACTCGGGAGCGCGGTGTGGACGCTCAGGCCTGTACCACGGAAGGCGACCTTTGCGACGGGGGTCTCGACCTAGGCTGCCCGTTGCGACAGCATGGGGAGCCCCTGGGATTCTGATTGAACTGGTCTGAGGAGACCTCACTTCTTCTTTTTAAGTTGGGCAGGTGGCCCCAGTGGGCTGCGAAGGACAGAACCCCGAGTCATATACCCCAGCAGCCTCGTCCCACACACTGGCTGTCCCCCACCCCTCGGGAGCTCTGAAAAGCCCCTCAGTGGGGGCTGCACCCGAGACAGTCAATCAGCCTCTTTTTGGTTGGGACCCGGAGATTCCCAAGGGCAGCCAGTCTGAGAACCACCACCTTTGCCCTCCTGCCAGGCAGGGTTCAGATGTTTGCAGTTTGCGTGGGGAGGGGGCGAAAGCTCACAATTAGGAACTTTCACCAAATCCCTGAGCCTTGTCATCACCTGGGGTTCAACCTGCCACCCCCACTGTACTCCTGGTCATCAAATCAGGGACAACCTGGCCTCGGCAAATTCCGGGTTCTGAGATGACAGAACTATTTTTGTAGAGATGATGAAGATTCTACAAGAAGATGTGAACCAGGCATTGCACAGCTGGCCCCTGGACAACTCAGGGTCTGGGGCGCTGCCCCTCCAGCAGGGGGCTCCCCCTGTGACCTCATAGTGAGCCTCTGACTCCTTATCTGGAGATTCAACTAACGGGTGGGTCTCGCAGTGGTGCTGCTGAGGGCATCCACGTGTCAGTGGACCCGCGCTGTTCAAACCCGTGTTGTTCAAGGGTCAGCTGTAAATGTTAGCTTCCCACCCCGATCTGTCTTCAAAAGCCAGGTCTGGGGCTGGGGCCATGGGGAGAGGTTCCAGGAGCCGGCGGAGGGGGGAACAGCTCACAGACTCTCTGTGGGGCCTCAGGGACTGGGCGTCAACTAGGAGGGACCAAGGACAGGAGTGTAAACTTTGAAATCTGGCCCCCTGCACCCCCTGGACACAGTGAGAACATTTTGGGGAGCACGATCTTCAAAATGAATTTAGCAATTAAGGTTTTATGCGGGAAAACTGAACTACAAAGGAGGGAAAGCGTGGGCCGTTCTTGCTGGTTTATTACGTTCTAGTAAAACGTTTCAGATTTACAAAGACTAGGACTTTGCTGCTGAGCTAGACCAGCATGTTGCTGTCTCAGCAACCAGCACCCTGCTGCTCAGGGCTGAAGACCTGGCTACAGTATTTCTGCTCTGACATGAAGAAATCATCAAAGTGGTTTACGGGCAAGGGCAGAAAATGCCAGATTCTTACAAATGGCGTTTTGCCTTTTCAGGAGTCCTCTCCGGATGCCCCGTGGGGGACCGGCATGAAGGGCAGCGGGGCCTGGAGGCCTGCTTCCCTAGGGGGTCCTCGGGCAGGTGCTTCTGGGGCTGGGCTCCCTCTGCTCAGAAGGCACTTCCCACATCCCTGGTGGCTGAGAGCCTGGGGGTCTCTCTGCGCGACCCCGTGACGGCCTCCTGGTCCCCCAACCCTCCCTGCTCGGGGCTGTCACGTCTTGCCTGGCAACTCTCATACTGTTTTAAGGTTCACATTTATGACCCAGTCTTTTTTTTTTTTTTTACCAAATTGTGAACTTCATGGATTCAGGGACTATGTTTTATTTGCTTTTTTTAATCTTTAGGAGGACCTATGCCAGGCTGCTGAGATGTTTAAAAGGTACTCAGAACACGATGTGATGGAATTGAGTTGAATACAGTTTCTATTTCCACTGGGACAAAATTAGAGACTTTGGCGACAAAACCGTGGGGCCCTGATGCATCTGAGTCAATAAATAATTAAAAGGCTAAAGGAAAATCATGTGCGGGGTGTGTGTGTGTGTGTGTGTGTGGCGGAGCACAACCACAGACTGAAAAGATGGTCTGGCTAAGGTACGTTGACTAGGAGCGTTTACAACAATGTCTACAAAGAACCGTGTTCACGATCGGGGTGCAGGGACACAGGTGAGAAAAAGTTAGTGTCCTAAGTACAGAGGGTCCTTTAATTGCAGAGTTATTTTAAGGGAAAATGATTTTTTTCTGCCCACATACCTGCAAGTGTTCTGAAGGCCTGATCACCAATGTCAAAGTCAAATTTCCTTTTTACCACCTGGGTTCCACTTAAGACATCGTGGTGTCTGCGCTGCACCTGTAAGACGCGCCAGCAGCGCGGAGGGCCAGGCGTTCCCGCATCCCTGCCCGGAGCCTGGACCGTTTCATCACCAAGGGCGAGGAGGGGCTTTGGGCGCAGCGTCCCCGTGAGGCGCAAAGTACCGTTCGAGTAAAAAAAAAAAAAAGCCAAAAACCTTTATAGTAAAATAAAAAGAAAATGATTTTCCATGAAGAGACTAAACTAATTTTTTTTTGGGGGGGATGCTAAAATAGTTTCCAAGAACAGCCTCGTTTCTGCAGTTTCCTGAGATACACCTGTCCCCTGAGCCCCAAAGGACTTGATGGAATTCCTCGGAGGCTCAGATTTGGGGCACTCTCATTCCGTCTCAGCGAAGGGCTGTTGGTCTGAACGCTGCTGAATCAACTATGAGCCGATCTTGGATGCTGTTCTTGTCGATGCGAAGAGCGGACTGAGTTCCAAAACAATGGAATGGAAAATAAACAGGTCAGTCGAAGACTCAGAGTCAGAGGACACTGGTCAACCAGCGGAGGGGAAGTACCACAGGGACATCCGTATAAAAGAAAGTCTGAGAAAGGATTCTATCCCCTCTGTTTCTTCCTGGCCCAGGAAGGGATCAAAGTGGCTTATCCTCTTACACCTGCCGTGATTCGATACAGGACCCATCGGGCCCCAGCTGAGGACGCGGAAGACTGGCTGGTTTTTCAACTGTCTTGCAGTGGAAGGGTCCCAGCGGAGCCAACAGAAGCCTGTGTCAGCCCGAAGCCTGGCCCTTGCTTCTCGGTCACAGTTGGGCCTGGGTCAGCTCAGTGCCACATGAGCCCACTGCAAGCAAAATCAAAGGCGAACTTCTGCCTAAGTGGGCGACGCTCCTTCCGGATGCCTCACAGTCTGGAGATGAAGGAATGGCCCTGGAACTGTGCAAGGTGCATCAGAGCCGGGGGCACTTCTTGGTTGAAAGACAGGACCAAACTGTGGGTCCCAGAGTTAAGGTGGGCATGGCTGTCAGGACCGCGAAGCTGCCTTGGCTTGGTCCCGGGGGCTGAAGGGAGCGGAATTTTTCGGGTGCCGCCGTCCCCCCGCGGTCACGCCCCAGTGAGGTCCCTGCTGGCTGGCGCTGCCCTTAGGTACTCTGCATCCCCAGCTGCAGGGCCCTCAAGGATGGCGTTGGCGAGAAGGCCTGCTGGTAGTCGGGGTTGTCCAGGCTGATCTGGGGGGTGCCCTTCTGCGCCCAGAGGGCAGGGCCGGAGAGGGCACCGTTGACGCAGACGGGATGGGCGGTGTTGAGATACTCGGGGTTGTCCACGGCGTTGCTGTGCGAATTCTGGTAGTGGGGGTCCCTTCCAGGCGCCGGGTGCAGAGGCTGATTGTGATACACGGGGTTCTGGACAGAGCCCGCCGGCCTTTTGGGGATAGACTGGTTCACGTACTCTGAAAGGGAAAAGCAAGCAGGGGTGATGGGCAAAACACATCCCGTGCAGGACCCCCCACCCCCGGCCCCGGCTCATCCTGCGCCCTGCGAACACTCCCCAGTGAGGCGACAGGTGACAGAGGGCAGGGACGCCTGGGGAGACTCTCTTGCTGGAATAAAGCGTGCTCCTTCCTGTCCTTCTCAAAGCAATGGGCACGTCTGTCCTCTGCTCATTGAAAGTTCTCAGAGCGCAGCCTCGGGGTGTGGGTGTGCGCGAGCAGGCAGGGACAGTCCGGGGACGGAACTTACATGAGGGACACGTTTACAGGCCAAGACTGGAGGCAGGAGACCAACGGGGTCAGATCTGTCACATACACACACACGCACACGCACACTCTCTCCCTCTCACACGCTGACACTTGTGCATCCTTGCTGTCTGCTTCACATCCTAGGAAGTCTGC